CCCTCCAAGACGTCCTCCAAGAAGGCCCGAAAGGGTCAAAATGGCCTCCAGGCGGCCAAGATGACCTTCAAGATGCCCACGTGTTCCTCGAAGGCTTTCCAAAACGGTTCGGGGAACACATGGTCCGACAGCTTGGCAGGTCGGGCATCAACGTTCGGCCTCATAGGCGCTTCCAAAAAGGCAGGGGGCGGCGGTGATTCGCCGCAGGCGTCTTCGATCCGCCGCCCCCTGTTGATTCATCACAGGGGTGCCCAGCGTGCTGAACCTTTTCGCTTTTGATTCTGGTTCTCTTCCAAAAGAATTCCCCATGGGCTTCGGCCCGTCCCGCCTGCCACCTGGAAAGACGCGCAGAAGGTGGCTGCAAAAGTTTTTCCTGCTCCAGACGGCTCCAAGATGGCCCAAGCTGGCCTCTAAGATGCCTCCAAGATGGCCAAGATGGCCACCAAGACGACCTGAGAGGGTCCAAGATACTTCCAGATACGCCCAAGAAGCCTCTAAGACGGCCCAAGACTGCCCAAGAGCAAGAGGCCTCCAAGAGATCCTCCAGGAGGGCCCGAAGATGCTCAAATCATTGATTTTCCTTATGTTGTTGGGCCTTCCGACGACCCAAGACGGCCCAAGAGGCTCCCAAGATCGCTCCCAGAGCGCCCCAGAAGCATCCAGATGGCCTCAGGACTGCCCAAGAAGCCCCCAAGACGGCCCCAAGAGGGCCCAAAGACTGCCCAAGAGACCTCTAAGACGCCCCAGGAAGCCTCCAAGACTGCCCTGGAGCACCCCAAGAAGGCCCCAAGTCGGCCCAGAGAGGCCCCCAAGACGGCGTCCGACAGAGTCAGACGGGCCAGGAGCCCACCAAGACGGCCCAAGATGGCTCTAAGATGGCCGAAGAGGCCTCCAAGAGAGCTCCCAGGAAGGCATGAAGGGGCCAAAATCATGGATTGTCCGTGGGTTGTTGAAGAATTTGGGCAGTTGCTTCTTTTCGGCTTTCCGACGGCCCGAGACGGCCCAAGAGCCTCCAAAGATCGCCCAAGAGACATCCAAGATGGCAAAGGAACGGCCCAAGAGGTCCCCAGACGGACCCCAGAGGGCCCAACGACGACCCAAGAGGCCTCCAAGACGCCCAAGACAATTTCTCCAAGACGGCCCTAGAGCATTCCGAGAGGGCCCCAAGTCGGCCCAGAGAGGCCCCCAAGACGGCTTCCGACGGGCCAGGAGCCCCCCAATACGGCCGAAGATGGCCCTAAGATGGCCCAAGACGGCCCAAGAGGCCGCCAAGAAAGCCCCCAGGAAAGCCCGAAGAGGCCAACACCATGGATGTTACTTAGGTTTTTGAAGGAGTTTGGCATTTGCTGGTTTTCGGCCCCGACGGCCCGAGGCGGCCCAAGCGGCCCCCAACATCTAAGAGCGCCCAAGAGGCCGCCAAGATGGCCCCGTGACAGCCCAAGATGCCCCCAAAACGGCCCCAAGAAGGCCCCAAGACGGCCCAAAAGGCCCCCAAGACGCCCAAGATGGCCTCCAAGACGGCCCTGGAGCACCCCAAGAGGGCCCCAAGTCGGCACAGAGTGGCCCCTAAGACGGTTTCCGACGGAGTCAGACGGGCTAGGAGCCCACCAAGATTGCCAAAGAGGCCCCCGAGAAGCCCCCGAAGGCCCCCAAGAGGCCTCCAAGAGGGCCCTCAAGATGCCTCCAAGAGGCTCCCAGGAAGCCCCGAGGAGGCTCCAAGGGTGTCCCGAGGTGACTTCGCCTCCTCCTCCTCCTCCTCCTCCTACTCCTCCTTCTCCTCCTCCTCCTCCTCCTCCTCCTCCTCCTCCTCCTCCTCCTCCTCCTCCTCCTCCTCCTCTTTCTCCTCCTCCTTCTCCTCCTCCTCCTTCTCCTCCACCTCCTCCTCCTCCTTCTCCTCCTCCGCCTCCTCCTGATCTTCCCCGCCATCCTCCCCCACGTGTTCCCCGAAGGGTTTTGGCTGGGGGAGCACATGGTCCGATAGCTTGGAAAGGTTGCTGCAAAGGTTTTTCGACTCCAGGCGGCTCCAAGATGGCCTCCAAGATGGCCAAGATGGCCCAAGGTGGCCTCCAAGTTCGCCCAAGATGATCCAAGATGGCCTCGAAGACGGCCCAAGAGAGTCCAGGATGCCTCCAAGCTCGCACAAGAAATACCAAAGACGGCCCAAGACGGCCCCAGAGGCCTCCAAGAGGCCTCCAAGACTGCCCAAGAGGCCTCGAAGATGTCCTCCCGGGTCCTCAAGGACGGCCCGAAGAGGTCATAATCATTGATTTTCCGATGATGGTTGAAGGATCTTGGCATTTGCCCTTTTCGGCCTTCCGACGGCACGAGACGGCCCAAGAGGCTAACAAGATCGCCCCAAGAGTGCCCAAGAGGCCTCCAAGACGGCCGCAGGACGGCCCAAGAGGCCCCCAAGACGGCCCAAGAAGGCCCCAAGACGGCCCAAGAGGCCCCCAAGAAGCCCCAGATGGCCTCCATGACTGCCAAGATGGCCTCCAAGATGCCTCCAAGACGGCCAGGATGGCCTCCAAGACGGCCAAGATGGCCCCAAGATGCACCCAAGACGGCCCAAGATGGCCTCAAGATGGCCTTAGACTGCCCCAAAGGCCCGCAAGAGGCCTCCAAGACGGCCCAAGAGCCCTCCAAGACGTCCTCCAGGAAGGCCCGACAGGGTTAAAATCATTGATTGCCCTTAGGTTTTTGAAGGAGGTTGGCTTTCGCCGGTTTTCAGCTCTCCGACTGCCCAAGACGGCCCAAGTAATTCCCAACATCGACCCAAGAGCGCCCAAGAGGCCTCCAAGATGGCCCCATGACGGCCCAAGAGGCCCCCAATAGGGCCCCACGAAGGCCCCAAGACGGCCCAAAAGGCCTCCAAGACGCCCAAGATATCCTGCAGGACGGCCAAGATGGCCTCCAAGATGCCTCCAAGACGCCAAAGATGGCCGTCAAGACGGCTAAGATGGCCCGAAGATGCACCGAAGACGGCCCAAGCTGGCCTCAAGATGGCCTAAAACTGCCCTATAGGCCCGCAAGAGGCCTCCGAGACGGCCCAAGAGCCCTGCAACACGTCCTCCAGGCCCGAAAGAGCCAAAATCATTGAATTGCCATAGGTGGTTCGAGGGTTCTGGCTGTTGCTCTTTTTCAGCTCTCCGACGGCCCAAGCGGCCCCCAACATCGACCCAAGAGCGCCCAATTGGCCTCCAAGATGGCCCCATGACAGCCCAAGAGGCCCCTAAAACTGCCCTAAGAAGGCCCCAAGACGGCCCAAGAGGCCTCCAAGACGCCGAAGATGGCCTCAAAGACGGCCAAGATGGTCTCCAAGATGCCTCCAAGACGGCCAAGATGGCCGTCAAGACGGCCAAAATGGCCCTAAGATGCACCCAAGACGGCCACAGATGGCCTCAAGATGGCCTTAGACTGCCCAAAAGGCCCACCAAAGGCCTCCAAGACGGCCCAAGACCCCTCCAAGACGTCCTCCAGGAGGCCCGAAAGCTCGGAAACCACCTAGTCCGACAGCTCGCCCGACTCGATGTTCCCCGAAGGCTTTCGAAGCTCACTCGGGGAACGCGTGGCCTGATAGCTTGGCCAAGCTCAAACCCAACTCTCGGCCACACAGGCGCTTCCAAAAAGGCATGGGGCAGCGGTGCTTCGCCGTAGGCGTCTTCGATCCGCCGCCCCCTGTTGATGTACCACAGGGGTGCCTGGCGTGCTAGATCCTAGACGGTTTTGGTTCTTTTAGAAAACTCACTGGGGCTTCGGCCCGTCCCGCCAGCCACCCGAAGAGACCCCAAACTGCACATGTCAATGTCTTTCATGCCCAAGGTGGCCCCACATGGACTCCAAGATGCCTCCAAGACGGGCACGATGGCCCAAGATGGCTTCCAAGTCCGCCTAAGATGGTCAAAGATGGCTTCCAAGACGGTCCAAGGGGGTTCAAGATGCCTCCAAGACTGCCCAAGAGGCCTCCAAGAGGTCCTCCACGAGGGCCCGCAATGGCCGAAATCATTAGTTTTTTCTAAGGTGTTGAAGGATCTTGTCATTTGCTTCTTGTCGGCCTTCCGACAGCCCAAGACGGCCCAAGAGGTCCCCAAGATCGCTCCAAGGTCGCCCAAGAGGCCTCCAAGACGGCCGCGGGACGGCCCAAGAGGCCTACAAGACGACTCCAAGAGGCGCCCAAGACGGCCGAATAGGCCTCCAAGACGCCGAAGATGGCCTCAAAGACGGCGAAGATGGCCTCCAAGATGCCTCCAAGACGGCCAGGATGGCCGTCAAGACGGCCAAAATGGCCCCAAGATGCACCCAAGACGGCCACAGATGGCCTCAAGATGGCCTTAGACTGCCCAAAAGGCCCACCAAAGGCCTCCAAGACGGCCCAAGACCCCTCCATGACGTCCTCCAGGAAACCCGAAAGCTCGGAAACCACCTGGTCAGATAGCTCGCCCGACTCGGTGTTCCCCGAAGGCTTTCGAAACCCACTCGGGGAACGCGTGGCCCGATAGCTTGGCCAAGCTCAAACCCAACTTTCGGCCACGCAGGCGCTTCCAAAAAGGCAGGGGGTGGCGGTGATACGCCGTAGGCGTCTTCGATCTTGGATTGGCCACATGAGCTGGGACCGCCAGGAGATGCGGCCATGTGATGACGCTCTGCAGACGTACGAGCCAATCCCAAACCTGCCCGACGCCACTGGAGAGACAGGCTGCAAGGAGGCAGCGCACTTGAACTGTAAATCGGGGCCGTGGGGACGCATGCGCAGTGGGAGCATGAGGGAGGTCACCTTGGGCTGGGCAGCCAGCCGAAGGACCACAGGATATGAAATAAGATTGCTGAACAGTCAGCAACCTTGGGAAATACATTAATTGAGCCAAAACGGCTTGCTCCAAAATGGCTGCGGAAGAGGAGGGCGAGGAGGTATAGGGACAGGAGGAGGAGGAGGAGGAGGGGAGAAGACAGCAGAACAAAGCAGTAGAGGGAGATCGCCAAAGAAGGAAGGAGCGGCTGGCCACCAGTTCCTGCTCGCAATCGCCGACGCCGCCTTCAGTAGGTTTTATAACAGCGTCCTGCGTGGTGGGCTCTCTCTGCTGGTCATCATCCTTATTGTCCCCCTCCTCCTCCTCCTCCTCCTCCTCCTCCTCCTCCTCCTCCTCCTCCTCCTCCTCCTCCTCCTCCTCCTCCTCCTCCTCCTCCTCCTCCCCCTCAACCTCTGAACCTCCGTTAACACGAGCCTCTCCTCATACGTCGCTGGCGGGTCTCTCTCGTCCGTCCCTTCGCCCTTTTCTGCCCAGTGGATGATTCCGTCCTAGCCCTGTCCCAACACATGTGCTATACCTGATGCCGCAGGCGCCGCTGCTGCTGGTTCGTTGTTGGCTGTGCTGTCTCTCTCTCTCTCTCTCTCTCTCTATCTCTTTCCCTCCTGCTCTTTCTCACACACTCTCTCTCTCTCTCTCTCTCGTTACGTCTCTTTCTCTCTCTGTCCCTCGCTCTCTCTTTCGCTATCTCTCTCTAGTTTATGTATAACTATAGTTCCCTGACATCTCGGTTCCTCAACTATGGTTGTCTGTATACACAGATGTCTGTATAACTGTGAACCCACACACGTACGCACCCGTATACATCATATGTGTGCACGCATCCCGCGCTACCTCTGTATATGCGTATGGTGTATGGCGCGTGCATGTGCGCATGACTGCATGTGGCGCGCGCACACGTATCTATATATACATGTGTATATATATATATATGTGTATATATACGTGTATGTATATATATATGCGTGGTGATGTACGTCTGCATATCCCCATATGGGTGTATAGCCATGTAAAAACTTACCATTTTATATATATATATATATATATATAAAAAGATGTGTATATGTAAATGTATGTGTATGCGTATATGGTTGTGTAAATATACATATATATATATGTATATAAATATCCTGGCGAAGGACCCAACCATATGCAGTTGTAGGCACCGCACTTGTGAATATCTTCTTCGGTGGAGCTCCCTATGGGGCCACGAAGCGCTGCACTGGGTGGGGGGAACGCATGCGGGCGGGAGCACTGGGGCCGTCGGTGGAGTTCTTATGGGGCCACGAAACGCTGTACTGGGTGGGCGAAAATGCCAAAGTGGGTGTGCGGGGGGGGGGGGGGGACGCATGCGGGCGGTCCCACTGGGGGCTTCGGTGGAGCCCCCTATGGGGCCACGAAACGCTGTACTGGGTACTGGGTGGGTGAAACGCAGGGAAGAGGGAGGGGGAGGGAGGAAGGAGGAAAGAGAAACGCCGGGACCGTCTTTTCAAAACGAGGACCCAACACCACAGGATGGTTGGGGGGAAAAAAACTGTACATACACATAAGAATACACATATGAAAAAAAAAAACATCCATATTGTTGCCAACAGATTTGCGTATACACCCCATGTGTACAAACAAACATACATACATGCATACATACATACATGCACGCATGCATACATACCTACATAGGTCGGTGTCGGTTGTAGGTGGCTGTTGCTTGTGCGGTGAAGTTACCGTCAGTTTGCGAGGAAGTGCAGGCGGCACGATGTCATAACGCATGTTGCCATGCATCGTATATTCGAAGAAAGTGTGGACTTTAGGAGTGTCGTAGCGCAGAGATGTAGGGCTCAGGAAGGAGACCTCTGCGTGAGCAGAAGCTTCGGTCCAAGTGTCCTTGCCATGGCCATGGTCTCCTCCGCGTAGAGCCACTACGCCCTGATGGTCCACCAGACCAGTAGTCCACCAGATAGCGCCGTGGGTAGCAAAGAGTAGAGCTAGAGCTGGCCACCAACGGCCAGCTCCGCTACCAAGTTTAAAGTTAGGTGGTAGGCCCAACCAAATACTACGCCTTAGGCGTAGTATCCGTCCAACCCTGTTGTATCGTAGTAACGATAGAGCAAGAGGTAGGAGATGGCCGCGTGAACAGCAAGATGACATCTCCAGGGATTGTATCCCCTACCGATGTCGGATAGTGCGCCGCGGCGGCCGGTCGCTTGAGCCCAAGCGGCCGCGGACAAACGCTCGATACCTCTCGCCTTTGACCTTCCTCCTTCAGAGGGGACAACCACAGGCCAACCGCGGGACAACCCTGGGACAACCACGGGAAAACCACTCCACAACCACAGGACAACCACGCAACAACCACGGGACAACAAAGGGACAACCATGGGACAACCGCGGAACAACCACGGGACAACTACGGGACGACCGCCGACCGTGGGACAATCACGGGACACCGAAGGGACAACCATGGGACAACTACGGGATAACCGCGGGACAACCACTGGAGAACCGCGGGACAAACCCCGCCACGCCCTGGCCGCCGGGAGGGAAGAAACATAATGTCCCCACCTGGGTCGACCTAAGACAGAAACTTGCGCACTTTCGCCTCGCCTCGCCCGCACGCACCTTACGCACGGCAGACACCGAAACCGAAAATGATTTCCAGCTGGGGGACTCCGTTTCACTTCAATCTCAATCTCAAGCCCCCACCTCCGATATAATACCTATAGGACAACCTTTCGGGAGTGAAGGAGCTGGGGGCATGGGTACAATTTTTCATATTTTCGGTAGACGTCGGATCGGGCCCGCGATCAATCAATATATCAGATGATATCCACATCTATGGGTCCACACTGCCGTCCGATCCCACTGCCACTGCCACCAACGTATCAAACGACCCCTATATTTCGCAATGTCACTATCTCTCGACATGTCAAGCCCACTACTTATTTACAATAATAAACAACATGACATGGTGCAAAATACAAGATACAACACAATGGTGTGTGCAAATCCCTACTTCGATGCATATATGTGTAAATATGCGGGTGTACATACTGGTCTCACCATTCATCTACTTACCAGCAGGCGGGATATCCACGGAACAATCACTAGACAACCACGGGACAACCGCGGGCAACCCCGCGACGAACACGGGACGAGGGGGGGACTACAACAGGACAACCACTGGACAACCGCTGAACAACCCCGAGACACACACGAGGCAACCGAGGGACAACCATGGGACAACCACGGGACAATCGCAAGACAACCCCAAGACAACCATGGGACAACCACGGAACTCGATCTGCCGAACTATCTCCGATCGACGTGACAATTATCTTGATACATGCGTCTCTACCTACCAGACTCACGATCCACCGATCTTGTTATCAACATATGACTATGCACACCGACGCACATAATGTATATATAGATGTGTGCATATATATACATATACATATACATATACATATATATATATAAAAATATCGGCCTCACCTTCTGTGTACCGATCTCACTGCCGATCTTGTATACGGGACAATCACGGGACAACCACGGGACAACCCCTGGACAACCACGGAACAGCCACGGGACACACCCTGGAAAACCACTGGACAACCACTGGAGACCCCAAGGAGAACCACGAGACAATCGCGGGACAACAACGGGTCAAATACAGGACAACCACGGGAAAACCACAGAACAAACACGAGACCACAACGGGACAACCGCGGGACAACCACGGAACAGCCACGGGACAACCCCGGGGACAACGAGGGGCACGCCTGGGCGCCCTGGGACCTGATTTTCGCACGACCTGGGCCTAGATAGTGTTTGCGGCGCGCAGAGGGGGGTTGGGGGACAGGGGAAGGCTTCTTGAAAGGAGGCCGCTTCTCAGAAGGCGCGGGCCTTATATTTGCAGATAAGGCCTGCGCCTTCTAAGAAGCAGGATGCTTCTAAGAAGCCTTCCCCACTCCCCCTACCCCCCTCTGCGCGTGGCTGACCCTAACTAGTGCAGAAACACGCGCACTTTCGCCTCGCATGCACGCGCGTCACGCAGGACACGAGCCGATACCGAAACCGGTGTCCCATGTGGGGGGCACTCCTTGTCACATCGATCCCACTCCCCAACCTGCGTATATGTATAGAATGTGAATATATATAATATCTATAGATATATACATACATACATACATACATACATACATACATACATACATACATACATACATGCATACACATCCCCTGGACGAAAGTTTTCCTCTTAGGCCCAGAACGACGGCTTGAAGTCTTGAGCAGACGCGCGTGAGATAACCGCCGTCGCATCCCGTGAATTTCGCGCGGATCCAATTGTGGTTTTGGCGTCTGCTTCGGTGGATCCGATTTCCGTCCGCACGGATCCGATTTCGGATTTGCTGAATCCGTGTTCGGTTTTATGGCGGATCCGACTGTTACCCCGTTGTAAACTTATACTATTATATTAGAACGAGGAACCGGAAGAAATCGGATCCGCGGACCCCAGAACCCGCCCGTGTTAAGATTCTACGGGGGAAGGGGCTCGGTCATTACCTTCCAACACATCATCGCCATGTGCACCTCCAGGGGAAAGTCTTTCGTCCTGCGTATATATATATATATATATATATATGTGTGTGTGTGTGTGTCGGAGGTTGGGGGGTGAGATCGCAGTGAAACGGAGACCCCCGGGAAATCGGTTTCGGTTTCGTGTTCGTGTCGTGCGTGCGGGCGAGGCGAAGCTGCGCGTGATCCTCCTGTAGCTAGGCCGAAGTAGGAGCGAAAGTCCGGGTGCCCGTCCGCTGGTGGCCGGTTGGGCCAGGCGGTGTCCCGGTGTCCCGGTGTCCAGGGTGTCCCGGGCGTCCTCTCCCGTCCGCCGGTGGCCGGTTGGGCCGGGCGGTGTCCGGGGTGTCCCGGTTGTCCTGGGCGTCCCAGCATCGATATTGAGATCGATGTGGTACCCCGAGGTGTCCTGTGGTGTCCCGTGATGTCCCGAAAAGTGAGATCGATAGTGAGATCGATAATGAGATCGACAGGTGTCCCGTGGTGTCGCGTGGTGTCCTATAGTGTCCCGTTGAGTGAGATCGATAGTGAGACCGATAATGAGATCGATGGTTAGATCGACAGGTGTCCCTCGGTGCCCCGTGGTGTCCTGAGGTGTCCTATTGAGTGAGATCGATAGTGAGATCGATAGTGAGACCGATAGTGAGATCGAGAGGTGTCCCGCGGTGTCCCGTGGTGGCCCGT